GCTAGTCAAATGCGTTTTGTTAAAATATACTTTTTCACTTTTTGGTCTTTTGGAAAATGTTGTTTGTGCTGTATTTAGACCCCTCTACCAAGAAATTTGTTTTGCATGCACACGTATAAAAATTGCGGTTTTTATCCAACGCAATCATAGGTTTGAACGTTGTTTTCAATTTAGACTTGTTTACAATGATATACATATATACATCTAGTTAAAAGGCAATAAGTCTTTACCACTGTATAAAAAGTTAAACCGTGTCAAGTCTTGATGTTTTAGTATGAATATTCTATGCATTTGTTGAAAGTTTTACCCAGATATTTGTGAAGTTTTCTCTTTTCGAACAGAAAGTGTATGTTTTAGATAAACCCTGAAGGTGTTAGACCAATTAAGTGCATTTACATGTCAAGGTATTATGATTAATGTAAATTGATAGATTTCTATTGTTAGGTGTAAGTTTATTTACACCAGAATGTTGTTTAATTTAATAGGATACCCTGCCTATAACATTGATCATAAAATTGTGTAAACTAGATACACCCTCTCATGCTAATGCCCTTATGGTATATCTAATACTTAAACCCGCAACCTGCAACCCGCAACCCGCAACCCGCAACCTGCAACCTGCATTTTAGACAATTTCAATTTTCAATTAGCAAATAAAATTGGTTTTAAGACAGACAGCTAGTTACCATAAACATACAATGTATACACAGGCCAGAGTCGGAGCTTGATTTGCTATATGATATAAAAACTAAACTGACGAAAAAAGGTCATTTATTCAAAATCATAAAATGCAAAAAAATACATTTTGCAAATAAAACATTTGCCATAAAAGTTCATAATTAATATGCAATAATAATACATAATTAATACGAAATTACATCAACTAATATCATATCAATTGAATAAATGACAAAGAATAGCAAAGGTGGGGAGAAAAATCTGCCACAAATCCAATCTTAAGCTGAAAGAGTGGATCCCAAAGCCACTCTAGGGCTGAAAGAGTGGATCCCCCACCCGAGGACTCTGGCGACGTGAATACAATTTATATATAACTTGAAAAATTTATGAGCATGACATTCACATACATGTACACCAAAAAATAACACTTTATTTTTGTAAAACGTTTCCACATTGAGCAGAAATATTAAAAGTTCATATGATAATATACCAAGATATTACTTTTAAATTATCTCTTACTGATAAAAATGATTAAAGGTGTAAATCTTATTCCGGTCAGGACCACAGCAATAAAATTACAATATAATCGTCGTTAAGTATATGTTTCAGAATTCATAAATCGTCTTACATCTAGACATTTAAGAATAGTATCCCCTAAATATTTTAGTACGGACAATTAGTACATTAATTAATCGAAACTTTATCTTTAATCTTAAATCTTCAAACACAATAGAAGTACATTTTTACGAAGCCCTGGATCCTTTCTAAATACGAAGTTTAATAGCTGACTATTTCTATATGGGATCATGAGCAACTGATTCTCATACTACACTTGACATTTTTCAATCAAAATTGTATAAAGATCATAGATTTATTAAATTTCTTAAGGAAAGAGTTCTTAAATTGAAATTAGTAAATAAATATCTAATGTAGACCTTTTAACTCACAGTTATTTTTGTTATTATTGATATGAGATTTTAGAAATATTTTGCGTAACTCATGATTCGGTAAAAAGTTTAGCTTTAGTCATATTAATTCTGAATATACAGCTTTTTAGAAATTTAATGACTGGTGAATACCACCATTCAATAATAATAGTAATAATTTATATCCATAATACCACTATAAAAATAACGGGAATCCACCAAACTTACTTATCCAGCACTGATAAGCTTGGGGACTTTTAATTTACACTTCAAATATACTTAATATACATCGGGAATTTGATTTTTCTATTGAAAAAAAAAATAATAATAATAATAATGAAAATAAATAAATAAATATACAAAATAAATATATTGCTATACATCAAATAATTCATATTTATCTAACAAACTTTAAAAATACTTCTTGTTTTCATTTCCTCGCTCGGTCTTGATTTTTGTGTGTGCATTTCGGCTCAGTAGCAACTTATAACTACTTACAAATGACTGGTTACAATGTACCAGGCATTAGTTAACTAGAAACATCTAAAATATATTGTGGCCGAGTGGTCTAAGTAGTTACTACTGTAATCACTAGCCAGTCAACACTGAGGTTGTGAGTTCGAACCCCGCTCGTGCGGGTGCACTCGACTCCAATCTTAATTGACTAGGATTGTCAGTTTTCCTATCGAAGGTCGGTGGTTTTCTCCGGGCACTCCGGCTTCCTCCACCAATAAAAACTGGCCGCCACGAAATAGCCCAAAAGCGGTGCTTAAAAGTGGCGTTAAAACACCAAAAATCAAATCAAATCAATCTAAAATATATTACTTTTTCACTTTGATCCCAGAAACAGAATGACGGGTTTTTCTATTGTAACTAGAAATGCTTACTCTTCCCGAACACTTGAGTTCTACTCAAGTTTTGGTGGGGTTCGTGGAACTCAATCTATGTGAATTGTTTTTTTGTTATTGTTGTTTGTCTGTTCTTTATTTAAGCTTTCTACGTTCACTAAAGGTATACTTGCTCCCTACAGCTTGTTAATATAAATAATGTTATTGTTTAAACATAAATATTTGTAAATCTTATTACCAAACTGTATGTCCGTTAATATAGGCATGTCTGCGGTGCATCGTTAAGTAATTTAGTACTCAAAAAGGACATAATTCTCGTCTGAATCTATTAGCCTAACATCTGGTGAATTGATCTCAATATGATATTGTCATCTAGATCTCCTAGGATGAGGTTTTATGTGATATTCCATGTCTACATGCTGAGCAAATTAGAAAATAAATCAAATTAACTGTGATATTTATGTTTTATCAACGATTGTTTAGTCACAAGTATCGACTGCTTCTACACATATATTTTTAGATTTTTTTTTCTGCGTACGATTTATTCAATGGATGTATTTCGTTTGTTTTTGTATTTGTTCACTTGCTTATGAATATAAGACGAAGATGTTGCGCATCATATTGCATGGACAGCAACTCAACGACACAAATATTTCTTTGTTTTGTTGTTATATATATTTTGATCTTGAAGGGTTTTGAAAAAAGACCAATTTCGTTTTGTTTTAAATCACATGGTAGTCCCCGCGGGTAATATCAGTTCAAGAATTGCTCTGATATTGAAACGGTAATAACATACCTTTCTTAAGTTTTCCTTTGATAAATTTAGAAATTGTTACGAAAACTGAGGTTTCAAATCTAGCAGCCAAATATGGCCTTCTTGTTGTTAAGTTCCTATTGGTCATCTAGAATTTAAGGTGTTCAAGTATTTATAGATCATTGGATTTCGTATTTTGTAGCGTTTTTTATGAGGGTTAATCCAGAGAGACGCTTCGGACCCCCCAAATGTATGTAGTGTTAATTCTATAACAAGGCCAAAGTCACTACTTGTGGACTGCTAGCTCCCGAATGTAATGTGTAATTTTTATAGTAACAATCCATATTGTATAAAAACCCTTATTATCCTGAAGGCTATTTCTGAGCATAGAAAACGATAATACTGTTTTACAATACTACTACTGATTATTACTAATATATTATTGTTATTTGAATCAGACTTGGCACCATCTTACGGTACGTGTTTATATATCACAACTCGTTCGCTATGCCTGTGTCTGTTGTGACGTTTTGGATTTCAATGAACGTAATCTATGTACTACTGGTAAATTATTAAGTCAGGGATTTCGTTACCACATATTCCTTAAAAACTTTTCTAAATTCTTTCATAGATAAAAAGATGGTTTTAAAGTTTGGTTGTACCTGTAGAAAAATTTCAAACGGGATGGCACATCCTTATTTTTACGGAGATGTTGTTTACCGAGCTCGGAAATATAGAAACGATCCGTGTAAACTTATCGATCCTTTAGATAAACTTATTCTAAAAGGTTACCAATTCAACACTGTAATTAGGTCTTTGAATATTGTTTTTATTGGTATTAATATTGATTTTGTTATCAGTAGATTAAAATCAAACTAAATATGATTTTTATATACGTATGCACATTCATGGCTCTAAAATCTGTCGATACCTGTATCTTGGCATTGCACAAGGTCATAATTTTCTCTGACTGTTTATGACGTCTTTACACTAAATCCATTGGATATTTTAGTCTTAGATGCATGATTTTTTTATCAGTTGTCATTGGCTTTGAACTAGCTGTCAGTAACTGCGAGTACTCTCAGATCTGCACTTAGTGTCTTTTTGTTGTGGGGATGTATAAGTACCCGTCCACGTCTACTTTTTGTTTTTGTTAGATGTATTTTGGGGCCTTTTATAGCTGACTATGCGGTATGGGCTTTGCTCATTGTTGAAGGCCGTATGGTGACCTATAGTTATTAATGTCTGTGTCATTTGGTCTCTTGTGGAGAGTTGTCTCATTGGCAATCATACCACATCTTCTTTTTATATTCGAGATAGAAATAGGAGGAAGCAGATGTACAGTTTTGTTTTTTATAGCGGTAAAGTATAAAAATTAAAGAAATTGTAATTTGTTTTGCACTCGGTGTGCTTTATTTCATTATTAGGCTTTATCGGACAAGTTAATAATCCAATATTTAATTTGGCCACAAAACCTTGCCCCCGGAGCAGGATATGCTTAATATTTCGGATCACGTGATATCACATTCGGTTTTTGATGGAGTTCGTCTTGCTTAGTCCTTAATTTTCTATGGGGTGTTTTGTAGATGGTTGATTGTATTTTAGGCATGCTATTGCTAATTTCTGCGACTAATGTTTTTTTCCCTTTGTTGTCTTTTGCCAATTTTTTAAAGCATGAAATATTAAACAAAAAATGCAATGTAACGCATTTGCTTTGAATGACATAAGGATATTATTTCATAGTTTCACTGACCCATCTATGACCTCAAGCCTAACTAAATAAGAGAAGACATCTTAAAAGAGAGAAAAAGCTTTAATAACTCATCAAATGTCATGGTGTACAACAATAACACTTTTTGAATCTTGATCTTTTCATATACCAAAAGGTATAGAATTTAAAGAAAAGTATCCAAATCTTGAACTAATGCAAAAGATATGTCAAATTCTTTTCAATGATAGTAAAAGTCATCCAACGTTGCAAATAAATACATTTTCAAATAAAAAAGTGACATTTGAACATTGTTTTGTAATACCAGACAGGTAAACACAGTCAATAAAAAGCTGAATGGTCGGAATATAATACTCCAAATCAATCTAAACTTGAAATGCTAAAAGAAAGTTAAATTTGACAAGGGATAAGGAATGTTTCAGTCTACATAAAAATTCTAACTAAGAGGAACTGAAGTTACTGTAAAAATATTTGAAAACTTATTAAGCAATTAATTTTTCATTACCTTACTTTGACCCGACATTGTTAATTTTTGCCGGGTTTTTGTTGGCATTTTGATTAATGATAGATGCAAGAAAAAATAGAAAACATATCTGTGGACCCGAGAGATGTTTACTTTTCAACTTTCAACTGAAACCCCGTCTCAAACTCACAGTATAAAGTGAATTTTCTTCCAAGGTTATAGGCCTCTTGTAAAAGCATGTTACTTAAACTGGTCATCCTTTCGTAGCACTCAAGTACACCATCTGGTTTTCTTGTGGGGTTCTTTTTGTTCTTTTTGTTCTCTTTGTGATGTTTTATGAACTATTGTTTTTCGTCGTCTGTCTTTTTTACGACTTATGTTAAGCTCTCATGATGTTTCCAAATGTTATAATAGTACCAACGGTATGTTTTTTTCGGGTGAAATAATGACGAATAATTAAATGTTAGATAATGCCAGTAAAATAAAGTTTATTTCAATAAAAAAAATCTTTATATCATCTTGATTAATTCTTCTTTCGTAGTATACTACTTATTTCCTAACAACATCGTAAAACGATTAATAAAATGTAAAAAAGTTGCACCCGATGTCGTGCGATGTTAGTATATCCCAAATATCATTACTGGGTTCCGTGCACAGAAGGTGTACTAAATATTCAAAGTATCGTCAAACAGGAATTGACTGTCTGGTAGAGATGGAAATGGCTGACACCATACAACTCAACAAAATAAAGTTCCAGAACAAACATGAAATCTTTCCATAAAACAGAAGTTTATTATTATGCAAATAACGTTACGGATATACATGTGGGCAGACGGACAAGGTGATTTCTGAATACCACTTATGCACTCCAGGGGTCAGTCAGTTTGCAGGGTATAATAATATCAACATTAATAAGATTCTAAACAAAATAAATTAAATAAATTGTCGTTGCTGTCCTCTACACTGCATGGGATTCATTTTTAAATTATGATTGGATACTAAATAATTAAACGCACATCACTGTGTAATTAACGAATGAATAATTTAAAATGCAGTGGAATACAGTTTATCATGTCTCATAAAAGTATTGGAAATAGTTGATCAATTTAAAAAAAAATCGGCCTATTTCTTCAAGGAAATGGCTATGCATCTCTCATGATCTAGGTCATGGAACGAAAACAAATTTATTCAAGATACTTGGCTTGTTTTGAAATTGTTAAGGATGTTCGCTGTTCTTGTTTTGTCAGATATTCGGAATTCTCTGGTTTTATCGATGTAGTACCATGAAAAGATTTGCCCGCTAATCCCTAATTTTCTTTTCAGATTTTTTTTTAAATAATTTAAAACACCATTTTTGAAAATCTTATTAATTATACCCAGATGTAATTAACTTTTACTGTACAGAAATGCCATATATTATTTTGACAGAATGTAAAATAAATTTTGATTACTTAGCTCATATTATATATAAATTATGTTTACAAAAAGTTATAAAAAAAAACTAACAAAAAACCCGAAAAAAAAAGAAATTCGACTTGTATGAACCATACAAAGTTATGGTCTTCTAAGATGTTGTTTCCTATATAAGTATGTTACTTTTATCAAATGAATAAATAAATTAACTAATAAATTAAACACCAAAGATTATTTCAATCATTATAAGCAATTTTAAAGACCTTATAAAGCGGTGTTGGTTTTCTCTAATACAATATCTTTAATCCAGCCAAATAATTCAGTTTTATTGTATAATATTACCTAAAAACACAATTTACCGAGAAAAAAAATCATTCTAAATAAGAATGAAATAGAGCAAAGCAGGATTTTTTGAAGAACTAGAATTGCGTGTCGCAACTGTTTCTAACACAGATAACAACCACAATTGTATAATATAGAAATATAAAGTAGACGAAAATCGCCCTTAAATCAGAATGAGATAGAAAAAAGCAGGATTTCTTAAAGAACTAAAATGGTGTATCACAACTGTTTCTAACACAGATAACAACCACAATTGTATAATATAGAAATATAAAGTAGACGAAAATTGTTTTATATCATGTGTGGTCATAGTCACAATATACTCTTTGAGTAAATAAACGTGCAAGGCTTTCGTTCTAACGTCCGGCTTTAGACATCATATTTCTCAAATTTGCGAAGGAACCGCCGATGGACAGCGCTGGTCTAAATCTGTTTTGCCGACTTGATTTCAGGTGATTTAGGATCATATCAATGTTTTCGTGGCCAGCAATTCCTAAAAAAAAAAAAAAAAGATGTTAATAATAACTAAGTTTGTTGAAAAAAAACCATAAAAGTGTTAATACCACTCGTAAAGCAAAATTATTAAACGCTGTGTTAGGTAAGACCATTTATTTGAATGAGCTGATCTATACTATAAAGCAGGAAAGCAGCGAAGTTTTGATAATAATCGATGTGCCTGGATGGTTTTTGGTTTTTTTACGTTGGGTTGCTGTATTATAGACAGATAACCCGCGGATACCTTTTAATAATATCATGAGCTGAAGAGAATGTTATCTTCATCTCCTTAAATTCATATATTGATGAACAATTACTACATCGTAATTTTGTCAATTTATATATATTTTTTGCGAATCGTATATCTTTTTATTATGTAATTTTCATATTGCAGTGTAATGTCCCATAAATTATATCAGAAATTAAATTTCAATAAATCTGTAATTCCAATTATTAAATATCCTTTAACATGAAACAAAATGATTTTTCTTTTAAATTCAATGTAGATTTATTACCGTTAAGTGCGTAATACAATTATGAAATATGGTTACAAAGAGGAAATATATATTTTTACCCGATAATTCGGGATAGCAGACTTTTCAGTATATCAAAAATTAATTAATTAATTTTAATGTTAAATGTTGAACCATTATTTAAATAATGGAAAAATGGATTATCTATGAAATATGATCACCAATACAATTTCCCATCTGACAGTAAAACCCATGATTTAGAGTTATGTACGTTTAACTGTGTGGGATGTATACGCAGACACTTCCGGTCGGAAATGGGACTTTAAACGTGATGTCTCATGTAGAGAGCATGCAAGGCATACTACCCCGAAGAGAAATAATCCAACCACTCTTTCAGGGAACTACAGTTCGCTTTTTTCAAGACAATTTTTTTTTTCTATTCCAAAAACCCTCTTTTTTCTCGTGACAGTCTGCACTCCATCCCCGTCGGCCCACTTTGCAAAACCTAAATATTGACTGTATTGTTAAATTGTTCTCTTCCTGAATGCACAACCGCCTCGGTGGTCTCGTGGTAGCGTGTTCGCCTCGAGTGCGGGAGGTCGTGGGTTCAAGCCCCGGCCGGATCAAACCAAAGACTTTAAAATTGGTATTTGTTGCTTCTCCGCTAAGCAAACGGCATTAAGGAGTTAGAGCAAAGACTGTGTTAATATTCATATTACATTAACATGTTCTCGTCCTGAAAATACATATTAATTTGCCACTGGACGTTAAGCAGCCATTCATCATCATCCGGAATGCACATTAAATATCTGTCACACGACGTACATCAAACAACAATCAATCAATCAATTAATCAGATGTTAAAAAGTGTCGGGAAAAGAAAACTAAAAAAAAGTTAAACATCATTCAATGAATATTCATCTCAATAAGAGAAGCTTTTCTTCTAGAAAACCTAGGCCGATTGTTGGGTCGCGACCACGCGAAGACACCTGAATTTTGTGTTAATATCTTAAAACTATAAGAACCTTCTAGTTTCACATTTTTTTAACTTATGGGGTCCACTCTTTTATTAACACACCCACCACATTCTAAATTAACGACCACATCTCCTTATCTTTATATAAATACCCACACTTGAAAAGTTGATTATTATCTAAAGAGTATTACAAATGTTTATTGGACATCTTTTACAGCAATTCGTTCTAACTTGATCTATTTTTGTAACAATTATCAATTTTGTAAACATGTCAAATATATTCAAATATAGTTATGAATTATACATGGTGTAGAAAGCAGCTGTTTACATTACTTCATATTCCAAAAACGTCTACTGGTTACGGAAATGTCAGTTTATGTTGAAACAGACATATATAATTACAACTTCCCGTTATTGAATAGAAAATTTGTTAAAGGAAGCGTGTTGTTCTATTCTTAAAAGAAGACAAAGAGGGTTAAATTTTCCTATAATGTGCCATTCGTGAAATGAAAACTAGACATATTATTTACTGGTTCTTGTCGTAGACTTATCAATCAATCAATTAGTACACTTCTGCTTCTTACAATATACCAATTTATATACTGAATTCTTTATTACATATATAGTAAGACATTTCGCTTCTTACAATATATCAATTTATGTACTGTATTCTTTATTACTTATTTATAGTAAGACATATTTGGTAACATTTCTGGGATAAATGATAAATTAAACAATAAGAACTTAATGAATGTATGACTGTCACGCTTTTATTTTAGATATGTCAGCGAGATACAGAGTGCTTAGCTTGCAAACTAACCAACAACAAAATATACTCTGAAACGAAAATCTGTTGACAGATGATTGGTAGAGCTCTCGGCCTAACTTAATGGAACACATTTTTATTCAAATACAGAGAGTAAATAAGCGCGCACTCTTACACTAAATCGAGTTGTCCATTGTACAAACTAGCTATATCAGCCTTTAATCAAGATAATTAACTTTCAATAGCACTGTTAAACGTGGTATAATAACGTACCTAGTCGTTTTATTCTGTGTCTTCGGACTTCTGGGCGGACCTGTGATATATACGGTACTATATTCTCTGAAAATTAAAAAAAAAACAACATTAATATTATCTATTTTTGCAATACAAGCTATTTAGAAAGACTCCTCTTTATCAACTAACGAGTGCTATGGGCCTAAGAACTTTTGTTTTCAATTTGAGTCCATGAGCGGTATCTTATGTTGAAACTGATCTAAGAAGTCAAAATAACCACTTGTTGACTTCAAACGTAGTCTATGATCGTATGCAAAATATTTAAAGTTATCGGTGTAACCTTTCTGAACTAAAATTGATTGTGTTTTTATCAATATTCCGGATTTCCACGTCATTTCACTTGTCCTTATTTTTAATAGAGTTTTTAAATAGGTTTTACAATGTCTGGTAAATTATAATTGTATTTTTGCTACCTATATTTCCATCCTGTTACTCGGGAGCTTATGCACAGGCTTCACCTGTTGTCCAATAATGTTGTTAATATCAATAAAAGGTTTAAAATTGTGAACATATTGCTGTTCGGTGTGAGCCTAGGCTCCGTGTTGAAGGCCGTACTTTGACCTATAATGGTTTACTTTTACAAATTGTGACTTGGATGGAGAGTTGTCTCATTGGCACTCATACCACATCTTCTTATATCTATATATTGATTATATCATAGAAAAGGAAAGGATATGGGGTATCCATTCATTACACAAAATCAGTGACATGCACCCACAAAAAATTCACAAAAAGCTAAAGAACAGCGCTTTTATTGCTGTACGTAAATACACAGACCTGTGCAGTAATAATCATCTGTAATCACAATATTTGGTACAATCTCAATGCTGCTTTTAAAGACTCAGGATGTGTATGTGTGTGTGTATTTGTTTTTGTTTGTTAAGATGGGTTCTCATTTCAACAAACCACAGATAAGATACCTTCAATTTAATCAGGATCATATGTCCTAGGAATATTTGAATCACAGTTTCGAAATTTTCATATAAAAACCCGTCATGGACTATACCATTCACTAGTATTAAACATTAAAAAAAACATTTCGAATACCACTGTTGAATCACACATATCGGTTATAGACCGACCGAAACTCAGAGCAGATGGTGCTAAACATTTTCTATTCTTGTTGTTCTCTATTGAAAAGAGTGGATGCCATTCAGTTATTACTGCTAGAAAACATTTCCTCTTGCTGGGCTAGAGTTGTGCATGCAAAGAAGCCATGTTACCTACGTAGGGTCATCACAGCACCACAATGTAAATGACCGCACCAGATGACAAAATATGATCATTTAAAATGATATCAATTCTTATTAAAAAAGACATTCCCTAAGGCTTATTTAGAATATTTATTTGGAAAAGAGTCTGCTTTAAACATTTGGCTAACTAGTTATTTATATTTGTCAAATTATAGTACAATGACTTGACCGTAAATCTTCCGCCAATTAAGATAATGCTGTTATGTCATGAATAAATTTAATAATGCTTCATTGATAGTCATATAATTAATAGAAGAGGCTAAAATAGAAATAAAGGACGCATGATATAAGACTGTGGCTGTTCTAATGATATAAATAATTGACTATCCTAGAATAATGTAAATCTATGTACAATATTGAATTTTTTTTAGGTTATTAAAGAAGACACGTTTCAAAATAGGTGCTTCATATCATATATTGAAAATGCTTTAACTGGAATTAAGTTAATGCATGTAACGTCATCATGAACGCGCATAGTCAAAAAAAGAAATGGATTTGATCAAAAAAATATGTGTCCTTGTGTCGTTTGGATCATGAGTTTGGTTTCTACATTGCTGATTCATTAGACAATAGTCATTAAGAAGTCAATTATTAAGGGCTATCGTTATAGTTAAAATTGAAGGCGGAATATGAATTAACCCTAGATATATTTAAACCGGAAAAATAACAGAAACGGTACCCATTTTAATGCACCAGATGCGTATTTCGACAATTATGCTCAAAGCCAAAATATTTGAATATCCAAATGTTGAAGCGGAAAAAACCAAAAAGAAGGACATACAGTATATCCAAAATCCGAACAAGGAATCAGAGCATTGCACGAGGGATAAATATTTCATAATTTAAAATCAGTTCCAAAATTTTAAAACATTAAATTCTAATCAAACAATATCCGCATTTTCATGCTAGTATTGAAGTACTGTCTACTGTGCTGGTGATATCCTCGGGGAATAATAGTCCACCAGCAGAGGTATCGACCCAGTGTTAGTAATAACATATTAACGGTACCAAGAAGGTACACATAGCATATGGCTGTTCACCGAAGATTAGTCTCCATGAATACATGTACATATATACGATCCGCATCTACTTCAATCAATATATTCCTAAATCTTACGAGGCATTACATTATCCGATAAAGCATGACCTTGAATTTAGCTTGTGTCAATATGTCATTTCCGGTGTGTTTTGATAATTGACAACTTCTTCCACTACTAAAGCAATCTGCAGTGATTTCACATAAAAATTCGGATAGTGGTAAATAAATCTTGTTATTCATAGCAGTCTATAAAGTTGTCGAAATGAAGGGATTAATAGCTAAGATAAGAGGAGTTTATTAGACACTTAAGTCAAGAGTTGCGTAATTTTTATTGATGCATTTATTTGTTGTTTTAAACAGTGTAGTATATATTGTAAACCAACTTTTTTTCGCGTATACTTTAATTCGCGTTTAGCCCTTTCACGCCCACTTCGCGGCAATTTAATTTCGCGATTTTCAAATTTACTTGATATAGTTAAACAAGAAAGATCAAATTTTACATATTGGCAACGATTTATCTTCGTGTTATTTTTCTACTCGCGAAAATCGCGAAATGAAATCGCACGCGAAAATTAGTTGGTTTACAGTATTAGATCTATGCTTGGATTTTGTATTTTTTATTTTCCTTTGCAGATTATTTAGTCCGACCATACTATAATTGCTATGAAAATCAGTCTTATTTCTTATCTAAGAAAACTATTAGTTTATCAATAAATTCATCCCATTCTGTCAGGACACCTACCGAGGTTTGTGACTTTTGTCCTGTTTATATATTTTAGAGAGTTAAGATGGGAGAAAAATGAAACTTAATTGAAAGTTCAGTTTGAAAAATTACCACAACTTTAACTGGGTTTATGAAATAATGAAGTAAAAAGTTTGATTGACAGCTTTATGCCTGCTTAACGGTTTGTGACAAATATTTTATTCATATTCAGGATGATAAATGGTTAATAGCATATTCAGATTCCCTGCTGTGTGCTAGAGGACACGTGATGTCAAACTTTTAAAATGTGCACTGTACAAGTTCACAAAATAAAAATCCGCCGAAAGATATTTCAACCTACCATGCAAAGTATGTTATACATGTAGTAGGTAAACAGTCTCACAATGGAACATGCAAGTTAAAAACAAGTATGAATTAAAGGAGATGAGTGTTTTTGGAAACTCAACTATCAAATTCAGACTGATTACAGTTACTATGTAATCTTCCAGCGTAATACCTTCTTTCATTTCTAGAAGATTCGTGTAAAGACATCGGGTATAAACGTTACAACAAATTACGGAAAATGTTCATATATATAAAAAAATATTATTTGTAATGAAAGAAGCACATTCGATCGATTCTGAATGACAGTTTTAAGTAGGTTGGGCGTAATGAACACGGATTCCTGCAAATATTTCTGTATTTGTGAGATTACTATAGTATTTGATGTCGTATGTTGACAAATAGAAAATAAACAAACCAATTTGTCTAGTTTGCAAGTGATGCTTGTTAATCGGACAAGATGTGGCAATTTTGTTACATTGAGGTCAAGTTCAAGATTAAGAAGTTAACCTTGTAAATGTTTGTCATAAATGTGAGGGCTTAAAACATCTTAAAGCTGCAAATGTGAATGGAATATCGCCATACTTCCGCCAAATTCTTTTGATTTGTAGAATACACTTGAATTTTTTTCAAAAATATTTCTTTTGTTCATACAAATATTTCACAACAGAGCAAAATGAGATCGCTTAAATGAAATGCTATATTGTACCGTCTAAGTTCTATTTCTCAGTCAAGTGTGTGCATATACATGTACGTACTATGGCTACGTCAGCTAAAAGGATATCAGTTTGTCCTTGAGTACAGTTAAGTTACTTTTATATATTCAATGGTTATTTCTTTCTGTTTTTAGTCACCGACTTAACCACTACTGACAGATGGCTTAAAACAAATAGACAAAAATAAGTATCATTATATTAACATAGGACGTGCTAACAATACAATGAGAGATGGGCTATAATCAGCATCCTGATGAATTTGCCATTATTATTAATACATTGTTAGTTGTAAGGTACAGGTGATGATAAAAAGATGATTGTTTTCAATGTTGCTCTCAAGTAAAGTATATGGTACACTGGATATGCGCTTAAAACCTTTTCATTGAAGATCAAAGAAAGCTAGTTCTCGCCAAAGACAGTACAAGTAAACCATGGTAAACTTAAATGAGACAGGCACCCATCAACGGCACCCCTCAACATAGTTATCTATATAAATCATACTACCAGCTTCAACGACGGATATACAGGGCCTCGGTGGTCGAAGGGTATAAGTTGTTCATCTATAGTATTAAATCATTTCCTAAGTACAAAAACTTATGAGTAAATTCATCACAAAAGGTAATATTTTGATAATTTGACTTTTTGATTTGATACAGTCACGGGAACAAGTACAAACCAGCAGATTTTGAAAGAACTATTATTAAAAACGGTTTTCAAGAAATAAAACCTGTTTACTCTATGTTTAATGATTCAGCGCTGATTCACATCTTCGGAATTTAAAGGAGTGTTCGTACCCTCAAGATGAAAATAACGTCACGTCAATGGTTGAATTTTCATTGTTTATGACCTTTTAAACCAATCACAACGTTTTGGTGTAGGCTTTTTGGAAAATATTACCCAAAATGCATTAGATTCTATAACAACTTATAGTCATGTAATTGGTCAATAAGTAAATAATGATCGAACTTGTTTATTCACAACGTAGAAGCAAA